ACTATGACCTCTAGGTTCCTTTCTCCACTACTCTTTCCTAGGCAGCCATTTCCCATTTTGTATGTGAGCAACTGATTGTTCCTTCCTATTTGCAGTATTTTGCATTTGTCCTTATTGAATTTCATCTTCTTTACCTCAGACTATTTCTCCAGTTTGTCCTGATCATTTTAATCCTAGCCTCCAAAGAACTTGCTAGAGGTAACCTCCGAGATTGGTATCATCCACAAACTTTTTAAGTGCACTGTCTATGACACTATCTAAACCACTGGTGACAATATTGAACAGAATCAGACCCAGAAATGAACCCTGCAGAACCCTGTTGGTTCTCGGTTCGGTAAAATGGCAGGAGTCCAAGAGGCTTAAGGCCAAATACCCAGTGAAAAATACCAAATGATGGCAAGACAACAAGTGTTAACAAAGATGGAATGATTTATTAAATTGAACAACTAAAAGATCAATTACCCAATATTTGCTACAAAACAATTGAACCACAACAATTTTTAAAACTTTACCTAAGTTACAGCTAAGTTAAATATATACACATTTCAAAAACTGTTTCTTTAAACACACTGAACACTGACAAATGATAAAGGTAAAAGTTATAACTGAGCGATATATTTTCTAACCTGTCTCTTTTAAACCACTTAACAAACAGTGAGGGTAAATTAAGTACTTACAAACCCAGCAACGACACGGCACAAAGACATACAAGGAATTGGAGCATGCTCGAGATTCGTACACCTCTTTTTTTTTATTCATCTCTTTTTTTGATTCGGTGGGTGGGAGCAGCCTTCAGGTGATCAGTCCTAAGCCAGACTCAGATTCTGTCTTCCAATATTTGGGAGTCCTCCCCAAGCTTAGGGATCAGAGGTTTTTATGTTATTGATGCTTTCCTATTACCATATTTGGTATTGTTTGTGCTCTGGGAGTGGCATGGGTGTGGTCTGGGTGCAGCCTGGGGTGTGGTGTGATGCCCATATATGGTGTTGAGTGCTGGATTCTGACAAGCCCCATTTTATTGGTAGATAAGTCTTGTTGCTATCCATGTGACGCGGTGAGGTTGCTGCAGTAGATCTCGGCTATGTGCATGAGGCCTGGCCAAGAGAACTCATACTTGACAAACCCTATTTGTTATACCCTTTCAGCTTGACAGTGAACCATTGATAACTACTCTCTGCAAATGGTTTTTCAACTGGATATGCACTCACCATATGGTAGATCCATATAAGATGTATTTCTCTAGTTTTTTTATAGGAAGATATCAAAAGCTTTATTAAAGTCAAGATAGACCACATCTATCACATCCTCCTCATCCACAGATTTGTTACCATATTAAAGAAAATGATCAGGTTCGTTTGATATGATTTGTTCTTGGCAAATCCATGCTGACAGTTATTTATCACTTTATTATCTTCAAAGTGTTTGCAAATTGATTGCTTAATTATTTTCTCCATTACCTTTCCGGATACAGAATTAAATTGACTGGCCTGAAGTTAGGCTTACCAGCCTATAAATGCCCAGGTCATCTCTGGAACCTTTTCTAAAAATCAGTGTTACACTAGCTAGCCTCCAGTCATCTGGTACAGAGGCTGATTTAAGGGATTATGTCATTTCCATGTTGTGCAAATGATATCATAAAACTGCAGTAATATAATCAATGGCAATGCTATAGGTCTCAGCAGGCTATCTGTGTTAGTCTGAATATGCAAAAACAATGAGTCCTATGGCAACTTAAAAATTAACAGATTTATTATGGTATAAGCTTTTGTGGGTAAAGCCCACTTTATCAGATGAATTGGAGGGATCATTACAGAGGAAGGGATATATATATACTACTATACGTACTACTTTAACAAAAGAAGGGAGTCACGTATGAAGAGTAGGGCCAGTGTTAATGAGGCCAATTCAGTTGTCATTTCAGCATTAGACCTGCCATTTTCTGTTTCAAAGTTCTTTATTTTTGGGTCAGTACTCTGGCACGTGTGGAATGGATTTGAATTCTTACAGTAGATCGCCCAAGTACCCAAGGACTAAATTTGTCTCTGATGTATTGCCATTTCATAATCTGTACAATATAATTTAGTACAATTCAGTGTTGAACACCCCACCAAAATCAAATGATAAAGATTAGTGAGTTTTGGGTTCCTAGCAATGTCTTAGTGTAAGCAAAGGATAGCCCCAGATCATACAAATGCCTGTACTGATAATGAAGTTTGAACTGACTTAAATTTAAGGTTTACTCCTGGCTCCCCATGATACCAATGCCCACATTCCCTATTTGTTTAAATTGAAGAAAAATGTGGAGCATGTAACTATGATGAAAAGTTCCGCTTCCAAGTTTCAAGAGAAGGAAAAAGCTCTAATTTGAGGACAAAAATTCTTGGACAGTATAGAGACAAATGATTCATCTGCTTTCTCTGATACCAATTCGGAAGCGAATAATATTTCATTTTTTTTCAGAATTTTCTTTTTTGGTGCTCATCTCCAGATTGCTAGTCCCTCTGTCACTGTATGGAGCCTGCTTCCAATTCCACATTACACTGTAAGATTAATTAAAAGAGCATTCGATACAAAATAATTTACAGAAAAAAGTGCTGGACACTTTGCTTACTGTTTTGACTAGTGCTTTAAATTTTGGCATTTTACTTGCACAGCTAAAACAATTTGCTCTAAAGAAAATTTGAAAAATCTTTGTCTAGAATCCAGGCTTGCAACTCTGTTTCTCTGGGTATCCAACTGCCATCTTTCAAAGTGAACTGCTCGTGTTCTCTACCATCCACTTTGTTTTCTCCAGTCAACAACCCCTGAGTTTCCCCATCTCCCAGACTCACAATATCAGTGCCATTTTGACTCCTTTTTTTTAAATAAGGTCTCTGAACTGTAGCCAGATGCATTTCACTTTTAAGTGAAATTTGGCCCTATGCAGTGGCACGCCAGGCTGTGTAGCGCTTACACCTTCACAATGAAGTGTGTGACTTAAGGAGTGCAGCAGATTTGCCAGCCCTTTTCACGCAGGTGAAACCCTTCATTTGTCTTTGATCAGAACAAGTAGTTTCCTTGCATCTTGTCTTGTACTCATCCAGTATATTCAATGTGCTGCTGCTAAAATTATCCTTTTTTTCTCCACTGGCCTGACCCTGTCAGATCTTCCCTGGTAAAATCCCCTCACACTCTACTTCAAGTTGAACTGCTTCTTTTAAATCCAGGACAACTTTACCTGTGCCCAAATCTTTACTATCATTCCCATGACTTCCATTCTAACTCCCCAATTTTATCTTTCTCCCAGTTGTGTGTGTTTTGTCTCCCATGCTGCTCCTTTTGCTTAGTTCTGTCTTCTCTGGGTTGGACATCAAATGAGGGCCTATCTTCAAACCTCTCACAGAACACACTTCTTCCTGGAAGTCTTCTAATAGTTAACTTATTGAGTTTATTCTAATAAACTAACCTATTTTAGGGGTCACCGATGAATTGTCTCTCAGAGATTCCACTCTGCTTCTGATCTGCCACTACTCAGGAGAGGCAGATAATTGAACGCAAAGGGATCTTATTTTTTAAGAGACCCCAATGCAAAGGAGCATATATTTACATATTTTCTAACATACTACTGATATTTTATAACATGAGTTTTGCTTGCCATATGTTTCTAAGGGATGGTGGTGTTTTGTTTGGCACGTATTGCCCTTTGATTAAAAGAGCTATTTGCCACTGTGGTGTAGAATGAAACTTCAATCCATATTCTCCACTACATATTTGTTCACTATTTTGCTTTGCTTGCCTCTCTCTTCAAATTCAATTAACCATCATCTATTTTCATTTAATCTCTCCGTGTTGTGTGCAAGGTATTGCTGCTGCTGCCGCTGCTTCTTCCCAACTGCCTTTTGTTCAGGTGAAACCCACCCACACAGAAAGCCAATAAAAGGGGAAAAGGAAAAAAAACAATTACAAACACAGTTTTGCCACAGATGTGATGCTTGCCTCTCTCTTCAAATTCAATTAACCATCATCTATTTTCATTTAATCTCTCCGTGTTGTGTGCAAGGTATTGCTGCTGCTGCCGCTGCTTCTTCCCAACTGCCTTTTGTTCAGGTGAAACCCACCCACACAGAAAGCCAATAAAAGGGGAAAAGGAAAAAAAACAATTACAAACACAGTTTTGCCACAGATGTGA